ATCATCAAAATCCGACCCGAACACGCATCAAATGCGTGTCTAAATACGGACTTATCAGAGCCCGTCGCCGAACAAGCTTCGCTTCGTCAACTATGTAATATAGCACATTTTCCACACAACTCCAAGTTACTTGTTGTAGAGGAAGGACAGTTACCGAGGGTGAAGCCGTTATGCTTAAGGTCGTCATCTCTTCGACCCGCACAATCTTATAGATGTGCTCGGGTATTCCTTGAGACAGACGGGATAGGAGGTCAGCGTCTCTGTTCTGACTCCGCAGGATGCAAACCAGCTCTGTTTGCTTGAACAGTCCGAGCAATTCCCGAATAGCATCCCCGTACTTCGCCATCCTTTCTTCTTGCTTCGAAATCGCCCTTCACTTGGGATACGACTAACCGAGAGTCACACTTTACCATTATCCACTCTGCCCATATGGTCGCAGCTAGTCGTAGCCCGACAACAGGGTTTATACTCTACCTCATTATTTGACACTTTGAATAGGTAACTATAAGCGTAGTACGCTCGAAACCCTTCAGACGAGATCAAGACAATCCCACCCCAGCTACCTCTCGTTCCGGATGATCCATCGGTCGCCAGGGTCCACCACTGTTCTTCACCATCTCTATGTTTCTCCGTGACTTTCCTTGCCGTGCACTCCACAATGAAATCCGCAAGCGCCTGCCCTTTAATGGATGATCGGGGCTGAAAATCCACCTCATACCTATTGAGAAGTATCAACCACTTCACGACCCGCGTCTTCTCTGGGGTTCTCAACACTGCGCCTAAGGGTTGATCAGATAGGATCCTGATCGGGTGTGCTTGAAAGTAATGAGTCAATTTCTTCGTCATGCCGTAGGCGACATAAATGGTCTTCTTGAGCGGGGTGTACCGCAGCTCTGCGTTTTGTAAGGTTTTACTTATATAGTACACGGGGTTCTGAATTCCACCTTCCTCGTGGACCAGCACGGAGCTGATCGCGCCCTGCGATAATCCCAAATACAGTCAGTGTTTCCCCCTTCTTCGGCTTGCTTAGTAGTGGTACGGAGAGGAGATACTTCCTCAAGTCATAGAATGCTTGCTGCACTCATCCGTCCATGTGAATCCATTTTGCTTCTTCAGAACCTGAATAAAAGGGTAAGGACTTCTCTGCCGATTTCGACATGAAAAGCCCAAGAGCCGTCCAATGAGAACTTGCACTTCCTTCACCAACCTTGGGGCTTCCATGTCAAGGATTGCTCTCACCTTCTCGGGGATTGGCTCTATCTCTCTCCGGGTGACCATGCACCCCAAAATATTTCCACCTTGGATAACAAAGGTGCACTTCTTTGGATTCAGACGCAGCCAAACTGCCTTCATGATCCCAAAAATTTTGGTTAAGTCGTCGGCATGGTCAATTTCTCATACGCTTTACACGATTATATCGTCTACGTATGCTTCCATGTTCCTCCCTAGCACCGGTCGGAACACCTTGGCGACCATTCTCGTGTACGTCGCCGCGGAGTTCTTCAAATCGAAAGCCATAACCAAATAGCAAAAGATACCTTCTGGGGTGATGAACGATGTCTTCTTTGCATCATCTTCATGCATGAATATCTGATGATACGCTCAGAATGCGTCCATGAAGCTAAGGAGTTTGCACCCGGCTGTCCCGTCAACTAGCTGATCGATGTTAGGTAGAGGAAAGGGGTCCATCAGGCATGCTGTATTGAGGTCTGTGGAATCGACGCACATTCTCCAAGTTGGGGGCTTCGGTGCCAGGACCATGTTCACCAACCATTCTAGGTATAATACTTCCTTGGTGTGTTTGATAGTCAAGAGCATAGCTACCTCCTTCTTCACGAATTTTCTTCGTTCCACCGTGAGGCGTCTTCTCTTTTGCTGGATCGACTTCACCGTAGGGTCGATCTCTAGCTTGTGAACGGCCACACTCTGGTCCAACCCCGGGATATCTTCAGGCCCCCATGCGAAGATCACACTGAATGTGACCAACACCTGGATGATCTTCTCTCTCATCCCGACCGAGAGCCCTGTGCCGATCTTGATCTTTAGCTCCGGGTGCTCGGGGTCGATCTAAACTTCTTCGACTTCGGAAATGGGCTTAGCGCGGAGCTAGCCTTCCTCGTACTTCGTGGATTTACTTTTGATGGTATGGACCCTGAGGTCCCTTTGTCCGAGCTGTTTGCACGCCTTCATGTAACAGCTCCGTGCCATTCTTTGATCTCCCCCAGCTACCCCGACCCCATTCAGGGTTGGGAACTTCATACATAAATGCTCCTGGGAGATAATGCATCTCAAGTCCTCCAATGCGGGTCTTCCCATGATGATTTTGTGCGGACAGGTTAAATGTACGACAATGAATTCTATATTTAACCTTGCTATACATGGTTCGGAACCCACCGTCACGGGCAACACCACATTGCCTTCCGATTCGATTGAGTCCCCGGTAAATCCAGATAAAGGTGTTTTTACAGGACTCAGATCTGCCCCACTCAAGCCAAGGCCTTGGAACGTGTCGTAATACATCACGTTCACCGAGCTTCCATTGTCTACTAGAACTCGATGAATGATTGTATTGTTGATTTCCACTTTGATCATTAAGGCATCCTTATGCGGTGTTGGCATGGATGGTATGTCGGCATCAGTGAAGTAGATCGGATCTCTTCTCATCTTCTTTTCTGCAGGTACCCGAGTAATGTCCCTGATGTACAGGGATCAAGCCCATCATTTCCTTTCGCCCGACGTGTCGCCTCCTTGGGGGCCACCCACGATGTAGGAGCATCTATGATGCTTTCGGGCTCTCACTCCTAGATCACACTTGTCATCATCCGATAGAGTTCCGAGCTCACACTTCTTTGATGGTTGGTCAAGGGGTTATTTCTCCTTTGACGTGGTGGCTTGATCGGGACGCCTCCACGTCAGGTTCCTTCTTTCTTGTACATTTCCCTACTTCCCTACCAATTGGCCCAAATATCCTTGTTTGATAAATGTCTCGATTTGTCTATGTAAAACAATGCATTCGTCAGTTTCATGCCCAAAGTCCTGTGAAACCTGAAGTATTGGTCAGTATTGCATTTGGCGGTCACCACGTCACATTCCTCTGGAAAGGAAACTAGGCCCTGCTCCTCTGCATGGTCGAGGACCGTCCCGACTGGCTGAGCCAGATGTGTCAAGTGTTTGGTGGGCAAGAGCGGACCGCTCAAGACGTCCGTCCTTCCCCTGTTCTTATTCTTCATACCTTTAAATCGGCTACCCTTACCACCAGACTTCCTATTGACGTCTTCATCATCTAGGTCACCACGTCTTCCATTGTCCTTCGCGTCTTCTTTCTTTCCATCTTCTTCGTCTCTCTTCCTCTGCTCAACGTCTTCTGCTTCAGCCTGACGGTCTGCCCACCTCGGGCTCCCTCGTACAATGTGGGTGGATTCCTGACAAAATCCTTGTAAAGTTCTCCTGATCGAATGGAATTCGTCAGCATCGCCACCCCAGTCCTGTCGTCAAGGCCCTGAACTTGACCGACTCGACCCTCCATCTTGCTAGGAAAGTTGATAGGACCTCCTTCTTCCCTTGCTTTAGGCTGAACATGTGGCTGAGATTCAGTAGTAAAATTCATTAGTAAGAGATTTATGGGTCGATTCGGTACCACTTCGGTTCGGTTTTTATGTCCATCCATAATTAAAATCATATCCATCGGGCAATTATTATTTGATCCGGATGAAATCATCTCTACTTTTAATTAACTTATTTAAATGTTTGTAGTTTTTCCATAATGATTTTGTGTGTACTATTTCGATTCCTCAATAAATAGATTTATTGTATTTTCTATTATTGTACATTTGCATGATTATTTAAGGAAAATAAATTATAGGCACTAAACTACCGGAACCGGCCCGGGTAGACAAGTATCAGTACAGCCATGGGAGAAAGGAGGAAGTGGAACAGGTCTTCATCGCTAATCCTATTTTGACACCACACCAATGTCTAGTGCTATTTACAACATTGAGTATTGCCATATTGGCAAGAACTTTACAAGTGATCAATATTAAAATAAACAGATAAAAGTTTTATTGTTTTAATTACCGATTTCTCAATTGTCACACTAGAACAGTTTCACGTAGGGATGGACTGGAACAGGTTGGCCTGGCCCGGTCCCTACCTGGTGGCTATAAGGGCAGGCTTCGAGCTCGTTTTTTTAGGCCCGACCCGGCCGGGCTAGTCCCGGGCACTATTATTTGTAATTTATTGCCCAGGCCTGTCCCGACCCAGTCCCGACCCGATACTGTTTAGGCCCGACCCGATCCCGATACAAACCCGGGTTGGTACCGGACCTGGAATTTTTAGTCACAGTCCCGCACAATCTCGGCCTGGAGCCTAGCCCAGCCCAGTCCATCTCTAGTTTCACGCCAAGCACCTTGTGGTTCGATAGCATCATTGTGACACTTTCAAAGTTCAAAACTCATCCCAGCCAAGAACGTTGGCATTTAACTTTAACCATACTCCGTATATCATAAGAGACTAAACAGTCCAACGTTTTTTTTCTTTTTTTTTGTTTTTTTATTTTTATTTTTTTTACTCCAGGGGGCATTTGGAGGAGGGGGGCTGGGGGGACCTGGAGTGATCTAGGCTGAAACCCACTCCATTGAGTTTCGAACCTGAGACCTCCCGTAAGGGAGAGTGAGTCGGCGACCAGCTGGGCTGGACCGCTTCCTCCTAATTATTAGCAGGCTACAGGCCCATTCGCTTCTGTATTTTAAGCCACTGACAAAATCCACCCAGAGGAACTTTGAACTTCAATTCTCAATCTCCACGAGATAGCAATTTCGTGCATGTTCAAATGATCCAAGCATATTTATTACGGAGTAACTTAATTGAATATATGTGATATATATATCCATCCAAACATGGTTTGATAAACTCATGGAATAAGAATGAAATAAAACAATTGAATGACAGTGACTTATAAGTGAAACCTAAGCACACAAAAATCAACAAAGTGACAAACATTTGGAAAACTGCTATGTAAAGAAAACGAAAGATTTAAAGATAACTAGGTTTAGCAATAATACTATAGCAACTATGATTGTTCATGGTATCTTGACAAAACATGTAAAAGAACCGATACAATGAGACATCTTCCTTTAAGTTTATATCCTCACGTGTTCCAAACTTCCCATATATGTAAGTAAGAGAGTAGAAAATAAAAGAAACAAAAACAAACCTCAAGCATACATTACAGCAAACTCCAAACACAATTGGCGATCCCGTCTATCTCCCCATCCTCCCCAACCTTTAAATCCAGCCTGATACCCCGTTTGGTGGGCGTGCAAGTGCACTCCCCAATCCGATTTGATGTTCACAATCTTATCATCTTCTTGAAGATCAAACGTCACGGAACCATCATCTATACAAGCACCATTATCTGCCCCTTGATGCAACCCACATCTCCCGAAATGAGCAGCACTCGCTTTGGGTCCACGCAATGTGTAAACTGGTTGACCAAACGAAGGGTAAACCACGGTCCACATTGTTATGTCCCAATTGTAATCATCAAACATACAAAACTTTCCCGCCTTTTCGTGTATTTTTTTCCAAACGGTTCGGTTAAAAGCATACCCCACATTTCCCATCCGCTCAGCGACTAAAATCTCCCACCCCTCCCCCCTCGACTTCACGTCCAATGGCGCTAGATTCACTGCATAACATTCTGGACACTTCATGGCTTTTAGTTTTGCAAGGAGTTGCAAATTCCGGTACGCGTTTGGGAAAATGAAATGGTCCTCCTCTATGAAGAGAACATGGCCCACGTGATTGTGGGTTTCTTTTAGTCCATCCCAAACAGTGTTCATCATCCACCACCAATGATGCTTCAAAGACACAATCCTTGGTGACCTGTGGTTTCCGTACTGGTCAGGATTCCCTTCACAGTTCTTCTCAGCTGGGTCGTCTTTATCCTTACAATCTCTTGGTGATGTTGCAGGAAAACTGTCATTGAATATATGAGGGGAGTATGGGGAGAATATTTGTTTGACTTGGCAGAAATTGATCCCTTCCACAATCTTGTTCATCTCATCAAAGTACCCATCATGACTAACAATCAGTAGGGTTTCACTGATCCCTGAAACTCGGGAAAGGCTGTCAACTACGACTTGTAGATACTTGGGTCGATTATGAACATACAGAACAATCACAATATGATCCTTTGCTAACTTAGGGTACAAATCAATGTTCTTGGGGGGCAACTGGTTTCTCAAATCCAATGAGATCGACAATTTGTTTTGTTTGGGAAGATTCAACTTTGATTTCTTTTTGCGGTCTGTCTCAAAGTCCTTAATTTCAAAATTATCGAAACCCTCGTTTCTATAGCTGGTGATGATAGCGCCAATTGTTTTGGTTCTAAGTAGCAATAAGAACAATAATAGTAACCCTAATGCAGTTATAAGAATCAGAGATAGCAACCGACGGAAAGCAGCATCTTTAATTCTACCTTTTCTATACGAAGACATTACTCTAAACATTCCCATGTCAAAACGGAAATTCAAAACATTTCCCAGCAAATTATAACTTCGCACTCTTTGAATAGTGTAAACAGATCGAACCAGTAGCTGTCGAGGACTAAAATACGTTGAGTGTGAGTAAAAGATGAAACATACCCAGTAGTGAAATCTAAGGCTGTGCAAATCCGGAATATCGAACTCCAGAAGAAAATGAAAACTCACAAAATCTGACCCAAATAATGGATTCCTCGCTGAGAAAATCAAAGCCTACTGTTTCAGCTCTAGATTCTGGGGAAGACTTGCGATATTTAAAGTGAAAAGGGAAGACGGAGAAGTTGAAAGCTGGAAAGAGCAGGAAGAAGAATGAAATGCGGAGTTGAAGCACCCACAATTATGTGCTCCATTGTAAACGGAGGCTTGAAAGATAAACAGGCTTGACTGACGTGCCGTGAGTCATGGCAGTCCATTCTAGGATCTGGTTAGGTTCAAATGGTTCTGTTTTCCTCTCAAATGGTTCAGTTTGGTTCCGTTTTATGTTCTAAATATTTTTTATCCGAACCACAGTTTATTTGATCCAATTTATTTCGGTTCAATTTTGAATTATTCTGATTTTGTCAAAATATTTTTGTTGATTAAAAAAATTGTAATTTGAAAACAAAAAAACTACATCAAATTGTAATTATAGTAATATAATGCAAAAATATAATTAAAAAGAGAGAAGAAACTGATACACTTCTAAGCAATGAATAAGAGGATACATGTATACCAATTTAAACAATATCTAAATTAATTAAACATATAAGTTTATCTTATTTATGAATTTCATATAGCGTATTCGCAAGTTAAAATTGTATTTGTAACTCATTTTATTTTGTAATTTTTTTTTGTAAAAATTGTGTCCACTAAATTTTTTCCCTTTTTAACTAAAAGGATTTTCTTAATAGTAAATAATTTATGTTACTTTCTTTGTAGACAAAGTTATTTATATTCTAAAGTTTCATGTTTTCAACTATGTTGTGTTAAAAGGGGAAATGATACAAATATACCCTTGTAATATGGTTGTGGGAACAAATATACCCCTATTCTGTTTTTCGGAACAAATACACCCTTGAATTATATGTTGAAGTGCATATATACCCCTGAACTTTTAAAAGTGCAAAAATAGCCCCTCATGTTCTTATAAAGGAGCAAATTTACCCTTATTGACTTTAAATAGATAAAATAAATTTCAAAAAACACCAAAATAAATTATAAGTTCGAAATTTAAAAATAAAGAGTTATTATTATGTTAAAATATTAACTCTTTGATTTTAAATTGCAAAATTATTATTTTTTCGTCGTAAATGAAACACTTCAAATCCATTGATTTTAATTTTAGTCTTGTTGTGAAATTTTGAACACATTATTAAAATTTTTAAAATAACATGCTTTGATTTTGTTTAACCTTGTTAAAATTTAATTCATTATTTTGTAATCTTGGATTATTTATCATCATACAAATATATGTGATATTATAGTGCAAAGAATGCAATTTTTTTTATAAATTGCAACACATATGCTAACACTTTTTCGAAAGAATCCTGAATATATAATAAAGTTTTGAAATAATATTTTATACTCACAAGTCACAACATTAAATTATGATATACAAACAATAAAAGGTAGAATTGGACACAAGTACATTTTTTTAAATAAAATTATTTTTTATTTTCGAATTTAAAATAATTTTTTGGTTAAATTTATTTATTTATGGTGTTTTTGAAATTTATTGTATCAATTTAAAGTCAATAAGGTTAAATTTTCTCTTTTATAAAAATATGAGGGGTATTTTTGCACCTTTTAAAAGTTCAGGGGTTCATATGCACTTCAACATATACTTCAGGTGTATATTTGTTCTCACACCCATACTACAAGGGTATATTTGTACCTTTTCCCTTGTTTAAAGTATAGTTTATATTAATAAATATTTGTTCACTATAAAAAATTATGTGATAACAAACACACATAACAAATAATATATCAACAAAATATCATTATCATGCAACAACAACTAAAATGTAAATTAAAATTTAAAAGATCAACATATTAGTATTATAACAATAGACTTAAGTGTATGTACAAGCATTTCACTTAATTAAATCATTATAAATCTAGTATCAAATTTAACATTAATTTTCTAGAATTAAGAATTAAGAACTAAAAATTATTATACTTGATGATTATTAAATTAAATAGCATGTTTTAAAAGGTTTGGTTTGTTCACTTCCATTCGATTTTGAGATGTGAAAACCAAAATCGAAACCAAACAACTACAGTTCGGTTTGGTTTTTTAAGTTCGGTTTCGGTTTTCTTGTGGTTCGGTTGTTTTGGTTGTGGTTTGGGTTACGTTTTTTCAATTCGGTTTTCGGTTTTCGGTTTTCGGTTTCACCGATCCACCCCTAGACAATTGATGAAACAACTTCCGGCGTAAGGAGTATGTATATTGATTTGATTAAGACATGTTGTGATTTTTTTTTTTGGAGAATGCTATGTTTATACTGTTGTAAATTAGAGCATCTTTAATAAAACTTGGTTGTAATAATGTTGTAAATGTTACTCTGTATGTTATTGATTTAATTAAAATCCTATTTACAAAATGTTAAAATATGGGTTTAAACCGAATGCAGTGAATTTAATTGATTAAGTTTTGTAAGAGTTGTGATTTAAGTTAGTACTTCCAAATTACCGATGTATGATATATTGAACTTTCCAACCCAAAACATACACTTGCATGTTTTAGGCAGTACATGGATGATGTTCAACTCACCTAAAGATTTGTGTGGTAGTTTACACGTGATAAAAATTAGAGAAACAGTCGATTTGCATATAAAAATATATAAAAAGTATGTAAACTGTTTTACCATTCTCTTCCTCACTAAAAACTTTTACACGATATATTACAACATGTTTTAAACAATTGTTCTACGGTTTTACACAAAATATTCAATCAAATGCGTAAACCTTTTACATTCCTAAAATTCATATGTAAAGTAACTATTTAATCTAATCAGACCAGCTCATATAAGATCAAAAATATTTAGACCATATGTACCATGTCAGACATTCTAATCATATTAGCTAAAGATGTTTGAATCACTTTATTATTATTGTCATTGTCATTGTCAAGATCATGGTCATGATCATGATCGTTGTCATTGTCGTTGTTGTTGTCATTGTTGTTGTTATAGGTTTTGGAATTTTTTTAATGATATTTAATGCTTATTGTGATATTAATGACTTGGTAGTCCTTTTTTGATCTAATGACAATCATAGAATACTCGTGACATTACAATATGAAGTGCGAATCAAAACTTTTATTTTTACATCAACCTTCGGGTTTCAACTCATAAGATAATTATTTGTTATTCAATATGAGCTTTATTTATATAGATTAAATTCAATAATTTATTTAAGTGACTTCTTGATTGAATTTCAATATGAAATTTTTGAAGATAATCTACACGTAATCAAAAACATGGTCACAAACTTTCATCAAAAAATTCCACGGAAAAGGGCCCCATATGACCTTAGCTTGGTCGTATAGTGGATCCTGAAACATTGACGGAAGAACCATATATGGGTGAGAACACAATAGTCATGTACCAAAAGTGGTCAAAGATGTGGAATCATTATGAAATTGGTGCGATACTCATAGAATCAAAAGTGGAATTTCTTCGTGTTTCGACGGTGCTCAAGAATATTACTTGTGAGTATATTCATATGTTTGACTTAACTTGGGAAGTACAAAAGATATTGAAATATCATTGACTTTACAATTTCTATGCATATTTAGAGTTCCTAGTCTCTGTATAGTAAAAACGGATATAAGAACCGTTTATTATCCTAAATAGGATTAAACATGCTAAAAACTCCACAATATGACTTAACGTTTTATATTTCCTAAATAGGACTCCCTATTACCATTCTACCCTTTTATATTAAATCTCTAAATTCGTCGTCTCCTCTTCCGCTCCTTCTCTTCCGCATCGACAAATCCTCTTCCGCTCTTCTCTTCTGCATCAATTGCCCCAGAGCTCTCTAGAAAAGACTGGACACTTGCTACAAAGGAAGGGATCGAATTGCATAGCAGTGGAAGCTTTATTGTAAGGTGCCATTGAATCTACTCAGGAGGGCCATGTCCGCAGCATCTGTTCCGGTCGACATGTGTCCAGATAAAGTGTTTCTCCTTCCTTTCTTCCTCTTTTTCTCCTCCTCCCTCTTTTCTTCTCCTTCGTTGAGTTCCTTCTACTTCACCTCTCCTTTTGTATTTTAGATTATTTTCTTGTTATTTCTTTGTTAATTTTTTAGATTCAAAATGAAAATATTATTGTTTTTACTTGAAAATTTAAATTCAGAGCTTTTGGATAAGAAAATTCGAGGCTCCACCAACTGTTGTTTGAAATGATTTCGATCTCAATTCTTGTGATGACGTATCTTTATGAACTTGTAAAAAAATGCCACATTATGGTAATTTTTTGGTAGATGACAGTGTTACGTGTTTGAAAATGCCAATATTTTGAAAATTTTGGCAGATTATGAAATTTTTGTGGCATTGAATTTATCAGCATATTATTTCTTTCTTTTTCTTTTTCTTCTCAAATTTCACATTTTTTATTCTAAAATGTCATTTTGTTTTGTGATTATGTCATTAGTCAATATGAAAATGTCATAATTTTTAATGTGAAAATGCCATATTTTAATCTGAAAATGATATGTTTTTGTTTAAAAAATGTCAAGAGGATGACATTACTACTCTTTGGAATTGTCATTTTCTTCTTTGAAACTGACACCTTAGCAAATGTAATGTCATAAAAGTGACATTATTACAAATAGTGTTTGATTAAACATCAACTATGGCATTTTTAGAAAAATAATATACTTTTAAAAAAAATCAGAATTAATAAAAATTTGGAAATTGAAAAGAAGAAGGAATTGAAATAGAAGATTTGTAGAGGAAGAATTCACGGAAGATTGAGAAGAAGTTGACAGAAAAGTAAAAGATGAAGAAGAAGAATTTACCTGGGCATAAGCCATCCGTCATCGCTAGCGATATTGTCGCACCGCACCCAGCGAACTTTCATCTCACAGCCATCCATCTGTCCTTTACAGGAATTAAGGATATTTTTGTCCAAATATAAATAATTAGTCCTATTTAGGAAATTTAAAACAATATGTCCTGTTTTTGAAATTCTATCAACTTTTAGTCCTGTTTAGGAAATAATCTCATATAAGAAAATAAGAAATAAGTGGGGAGAAAAAATCTAAATTGACTTATTGGGCTTGATGATCTCATCTTTTATCTTATCATGGATTTTTTTCATTAATGTTTGCCCACTACTATTCTCCTAAATATTTTGTTATTGTAGTATTTTGTGCGCGCACCCTTAGTGTTGGAACTATTATGAAGTATACCCTTCTTCTTTTGAAAAG